TAATGAGGCTAATAACACTTATCATTAAGAGTTTGTGAGAATTAAAAAAAAATACCTGCAAAGTACCTAGCACAATGAGCAGAGAGTAGATGCTCTTAAGTAACAATTGTCATTATCATTATAATGCCAAAACACACAGTTTTAAGTGTACAACCAAATCTAAAGCACAGGTTTTATGCTTAATAGTTCTGCAATATTGCATTATTTTTAAATTTTATTTTTTTATTGTTGATGCTATTACAGATGTCCTTTATTCACCCCTTGCTTTTTCCCCTCCACCCAGCCCCCATTTCCCACCCCACCCCCTGGCCTTCACCACACTGTTGTCTGTGTGCATGGGCCACCCATATGTGCATGTACATTCTTTGGCTAATTTCCTCCAGTCCCCTACTTCCTCTGCTCCTCTGAAATCTGTCAGTCTGCTCCACAGGGTTGTTCGTTTTTTTTTAAATAACAGACTTTTAATAAATTCCAGTTGAACTAAAGAAAAGAAAAAAGAAACATCTGAATGGAAATTAACTGGCAGTTGGCAAGGAGATCTTTTTATCGGAAAAGATTTATTTTCCCAGACATAATATATCTTTGGTAATGGGAAAATATCTAGTTTCTCACCTGACAGTCATGGCCTGACTTGACCCTTCCTCAAGTCCAAGTCCACACATGGGGCCATCCCCCCTAAAAGGAAGTTCCTGTAGAAGGTTTTCCATTTAAAAATCTGTAACATAAGGTCCCAGTTGCAACACAAATAACTACATAGGGTGATCTGACTTTCCCAAGGTCACTCTGCTAGACAGGGGCAGAAATGGAATTAGGGCCCAATTTTCAGGTCTATAAGTTTGGTTTCAGTGAATAAACATCATTTTTAGATGTTCATATATTAGGGGGGATGATTTCCACTATGAAGCATTATAATGCACTATATTATCTCTTAATTAGGTGTGTTCAATTTATCTGCACAGGGGCTATTTCTTTTCCTTTTTTGAGATATCAGCAGATACCCCTGGTATTTTAAACTTATCTGATTTGAAGTATAAAACATGGACCATTACCAAATGCATATATTTACTGACCTTACTTGGTTTGTTCTAAATATTTATTTATAACTCTTGCCTTTCCTGTTCACCTATAATTTTGGAAATCTTTCATAGGAAGGGTGAAGAAAGCAGGGTGTCTCTGTTCTCTATAGTTCTTCATGGAAGTGAGGGAGAATATATAATGAAATTGATGAATGGAATTGATAAGACTAAAGAACTTTTCCCAGCCACTCTGGTACTAATTCAGTTTAATAGACACAACATTTTATTAGATTCTGAGATATAAAGATGATTCAGACAATGTATTAATTCAATGTACCTTCATTCAGAGAGAATAGAGTTTGGTAGCTCAGGTAAATGGGTATCAAAACAAGGATACTAAAAAGCCAGAACATAACCACTCAACAAAGGTAAAGATGAAATGCTTTGGAAAAAGGAGAGATGCTCAGACAAGAATAGGCAGGCTTTCAGAGAGAGAGTATTGTAGCATGTAATTGGGATGAATCTTAAGGGACCTTTAAAAAATTTTTTTTATTGTTGTTCAATGACAGTTGTCCCCATTTTCCCCTATTACTCTCCCCTGTCCTACCTACCCCCTCCCTCCCACATTCAATTCTCCCTGCCCCTGCTGTTGTCCTTGTCCGTGGGTCCTTCAAACATGCTCCTGGACTTGACCCTTCCCATGCTTTCCCCTCTGGTCCCTGTCAGTTTGCTCTTTATTTTCATGTCTCTCGTTCTATTTTGCTCACTTGTTTGTGCTGTTGATTAGAACCTTGAGGGATCTTACTTCAGCTGGCTGGATATCAAAATTCAAGACCTGAAATTTAAAAAAAAATAAAGAAATGGAAAAAAGAAGAATTCAAGACTTATTACCTGAGATCCAAGATGGCAGCCAAGTAGGTGGAAGGTACACTAACTTCTCCCCAGAACCAAACTAGAATTACAACTAAATTATGGAAGAATCATCCTGAATAACCAGGTGAACACTAATTGGAGAGAAGCCTTATAACCAAGGACTTATGGAAGAAACCACATCACCACATTGAGACTGGTAGAAAGTGTGGAGGTACGAGAGGGCTAGCTGGACTCCCAAGGGTGGCAGCTTAAGTTCTGAGGGATATTTTAGCATCTGAGGTGGTGGCCCTCTGAGAAATGCAGGGTATAAATCCCAAGCTGAGCTCCTCAGCCTACAGCTCTAGAACAAGGAAAAAAACCCAAATAATATCCAGCAATGAAAAGCAGCAGGGTTTCTGTCCACCAGGGAGAGATGGTGAGAGACACAGAGAGCCTCTTAAAGGGTCAATACACAAAATTTCATTTGCAGCCACTTACCCTGGGCTGTGGCAGAGGCAGGGCAGAGCACACTAGAGCTTTGTGAGGAAAGTCTGGGGTTGGTGGCTCTGGGAAGAGAGCTGAAGGGTCAGTCACTGAGATCCCTGTGCTGAGTCATTCCCCATACTGCAGAAGCCATCTTTCTCAGTGACGGCACTCCCTTCCATATGGTATCAGCCTGAGGGGAAGTGAGCCTCACCCACAGGAATCCCTCTTACCCCACCCTGTGGAGTTTATAGCTTGAGGCACTTTCACTGATTAAGCCTGCAAGTTAAGGTGCATCTCTGGAAGCTTTGAGACTTCAGCTTATCCTCTCCCAGGCTGGTGCCAGTAACAGCTAGCCATGGTGCACAGCTAGATTCTTCTCCCACAAACCCAGGCCCAGCAGAGGGAGCCATAAGCTATAGATCATTGATAGCTCCAAACAGAATGCTCAAGGCCAGTCACAGGCAGTGTCTGACACAGGCTGGTACTGGAGTCTTTGCAGATCTTCCTAATACATAGAAACATATACAAAGAGGCATCTAAAATGGGAAGACAAAGAAACAGGCCCCAAATGAAAGAACAAGAGAATTGTCCAGAAGAACTAAATGAAATGAAGGGAAGCATTTTATCAGATATAGAGTTCAGAGTAACTATTATAAGGATGGTCCTCAGCATTAAAAAAGACATAGAAACCATAAAAAAGAGCCAGTCAGAAATATAGAATGCAATATTTGAACTAAATAATACAGTGGAAGGAATAAAACATAGGTTAGATGAAGGAGAGGATTGAATCAGTGATTTGAAGACAAGGTAGAGAAAAACACTCAAGTAGAGCAACAAATAGAAAAAAGAATTTTAAAAATTGAGGAGAGTTTAAGGAACCTTTGGGACAACATGAAGCATAACAACATCTGCATCATGGAGATACCAGAAGAGAGTAAGCATGGGATTAAGAACCTAGTTGGAAAATAATGACTGAAAACTCCCCTAACCTGGTGAAGGAAAAAGACATACAAGTCCAGGAAGAACAAAGAATACCAAACAAGATGTAACCAAAGACACCCACACCAAGACACATCATAATTAAAATGGCAAAGCTTAAAGGAGAGAATTTTAAAAGCTTCAAGAGAAAAACAGTTAGTTACCTACGAGGGAGCTCCCATTACTTATCATTTGGTTTCTCAACAGGAACATTTCAGGCCAGGAGAAATTGGTATAAACTATTCAAAGTGATGAAAAGCAAGATCTTACAATCAAGATTGTTTTATACAACATGGCTATCATTTAAAATAAAAGGTGAAATAAAGAGCTTCCTAGATAAGAAAAAGCTAAAGGAATTTGTTAAAACCAAACTAGTATTACAACAAATGTTAAAGAGCTTGCTTTAAGAAGAAAAATAAAAAGATAATAAACAGAGGAAAACAGTTAAAATATAATTGTAAATAAATACCTATTTATCAATTATCACTTTAAGTTACAAATGGCTTAAATGCTCCATCAAAAGACATATGGTAGCTGAATGGGTAAGATAATAAAACCTGTGTGTGTGTGTGTGTGTATATGTGTATGCTATCTCCAAAAGACCCACCTCAGAATGAAAGATACATATAGACAAAAAGTAAAGGGATGGAAAAAGATATTTCATGCAAATGGAAAAAAAAAGGCTTCCATAGCACTTTTATAGCACTACTATAAAATAGCACTACTTATATCTGACAAAATAGGCAATAAAACCTAGAATATTAAAACCTAGTAAGAGACAGAGAAGGACACTGCATCATGATAAAAGGAACAATTCAACAAGGGGATATAACCCTAGTACACATTAATGCACTCAACATAGGAACACCTAAATATGTAAATCAAATTCTGATGTACATAAAGGGAGCAATCAACAGAAATACAATCATAGTAGAGGGTTTTTAAAATATTTTTTTAAATTTTATTTATTTATCTTTAGAAGGGAAGGGAAGGAGAGAAGGAAAGAAATATCAATGTATGGTTGTTTCTGGTGCATCCCCTGCTGGGAACTGGCCCCTGCTGGGAACTGGCCTGCAACCCAGGCATGTGCCCTGATGGGGAATTGAACCGCAATCTTTTGGTTGGCAGGTCTGTGCTGAATCCACTGAGCTACACCAGCCAGGGCTTATAGTAGAGGGTTTTAGCACCCCATTGACTTCAATGGGTAGATATTCCAGATAGAAAATCAACAAGGAAACAGTGGTCTTAAATAAAACACTAGATCAAATGGATTTAATTGATATCTACAGAGCATTTCATCCCAAAACAGCAGAATATACGTTCTTTTTATGTGCAATGGGATATTTTCTAGGATAGACCACATCTTAGGATACAAGTCTCAATAAATGTAAGCTTGAAATCCTATCAAGCATCTCCTTTGATCATAATGCCATGAAACTAGAAATCAATTACAAGAAGAAAACTCAAAAATACATGAAGACATGGAAGCAAAATAACATGTTATTAAACCATGAATGGGTCAACAATGAGATCAAGGGAGAAATCAAAAGATACCTTGAAACAAATGAAAATGAGAACACAACAGCCCAAAATCTGTGGGGCACAGGGAAACCAATCTGAAGAGGTAAATTCATAGCATTACAGACCTATCTTAAGCAACAAGGAAAAGTGCTCGCTTCGGCAGCACATATACTAAAATTGGAACAATACAGAGAAGATTAGCATGGCCCCTGCATGAGAAACAAGAAAAAGCTCAAATAAACAACTAACTTCATATTTAAAGGGACTTGAAAAAGAACAACAAACAAAGCACAAAGTGAGTAGAAGGAAGAAATAATGAAGATCTGAACAGAAATAAATGAAATAGAGTCTACAAATACAATACAAAAGATGGATGAATCCAGTGTGGGTTGCCCACAAAGAGTGAGAAGGCTGAGGAGGTTGGGGAAAGCCTCTTTGTGGATGGTGCTGTAGGCCCCATCCATGATTTGTGTTATTATCCTTGTAAACCAAGAAGCAACACATATTTGAAAGGTTATTCTGGGTATAGAATAAAGGAAGGATAAAAGTAAGACAAATACAGGTGTGAAAAGACTAGTCATCAAGATATCGAGGTTTGCCTAGACTCCAGGCAAAGAAATGGGGGTGACTTGGACTGAGGTAGAAACAGTGGAGAGTACAGATGAAATGTTGGGAAGAGGGCATGCTTTGAAGAGATGACATGGCTTGACAATATCACTGCACGTGCGAGCGTGTGTGTGTGTGTGTGTGTGTGTGTGTACCCCACAGCAGTGAGAAGGGTCAGATTATCTCTGTAGACAAGGGCCAGATATTAGATTAACAATTTTGCATTGTTTTTAGTGATACTCTCTTTTCCTTCTTAACAGAATCCCCACACTCCTAATCCAGGCCTGAAGTCAGACCAAAACATCAAGAATCAGTGATTCTCTTCCTAATCCCCATATACAGAAACTGTGCAAGGTTTCCTTGTGGCGGTCCCCCAGCTTTCTATTATTCATTATAGAAAGGACAAGGAAATAGGGAGCAGATAGGGACTTGGTCACCACTATGGGAATTGGAACTTTGTGGCATATGAAGTAAGCTCTGGGCCAGGAGTTTTAGTAATAACTAGTTAAACTTTGACAAGTTTGTGTCTTTGTTTTTTCCATTTTAAAGTAAAGTGATTATATAACATGGGCCTTAAGTAAGATTTTAATCTAGCCTTGGCCAAGTCACTCAGTTTGTTAGAACATTGTCCTGATACGTGAAGGTTGTGGGTTTGATCCCCAGTCAGGGCACCTTCCCTAAATTCTCACTACATAAAAATTAAGCAAACAATCTCCTCTGTACATCTTGAAATGATTATTTAATATTATATTTCTTTAGGAATTTTAGAAATTGGGTGGTATTTCTGTAAGTTGTTAAAAAGTTAAAAATATGCTCAAATGTAGCTCCAAGTGAGGGAGAAAGAAAGAAGTTCCTATTAGTGAAGTTTGAAGAATGACCCATACTAGAGACATAATCCACATTGTTCTAGAATTTGAAAGACTTGGACAAAGGCTTCTTATGTCTGGTATAAATTTAGGTATGTGAAGAAGGTCCTTTTGTCTTGCCTCTGAATATACCTTTCTCTACCTACTTGTTGACATATGAAATTACTTCAATAGGAAGAAAACCTTTCTGTTAAACAATTACATATAAAAATTTAGTACAAAGATTCTCGGGAGAAACACACTAGGCTGTAAGTGATTCACCTCTACTACTTTCCAACAGGTTTTAATAAGAAGTGGAAGAGAAAATTTTAAGTTGCTGAATTGCTAGATTAAGGTGGAACTGGTTGAGAAGAGAAGGATCTGGAGAAAGGTTTGCAGTAAGGGCAGACTTTTACAGTCCAACATTGTGAAAACTCAACCTTTGGTATTTAGAGAATATATAACTGAATTGACAGGGTGAAATACCTTACAATGTTTGTGGCATTGCTAAACTGCAATACCCTATTTTAAAGATTAAGAAAATGAAGGCTAGAGAAGTAAATGATTTTCCTAAGGTCATGGAGTAAGAGGAAGACAGTAAGTACTAGGACAGATGTTCTGTGTGTTCTTTCCACTCCACTCTGCTGATTTCTCACAACTGCTTGCTTCCTCTGAGTACTTGGTTCTAGAGGCCAGTCCAGCTTCCCTCAGTTCAAATGGGTGCAATTATTGTTTCTCTTTTATTTTTGCACTTTTAATTCATTTCTTGTCTAAAAGCGCTGAAGTCATCAAACATCAAATGACAATTTTCTTCTTGTACTAACAAGACATTCTAGAATTAAAAAATATTAGGAAGAAATACAACAAAATGTTATCAGCACATCTCCCTGGATGGTGGAATTGTAAACAATTTTTGTTTTCTTCCTTATCTTTTTTTGAACATTTTACATTTTTTACAGTGGACTTTTAAAATTTTTATTAATTTTTTCTTATGAATTACTTTATAATAAAAAATAACATTATACTGCCCTGGCCAGGTGGCTTAGGTGATCAGAGCATTGCCCCATACACCAAAAAATAACCACACACACACACACACACACACACACACACACACACACACACACACATTCTCCTTCTTCCCCTATTTCTACTGTTTGAATGATCCTGCCTTCATTTAAGTGAAGTGGTGCAGTGGGCTCCCATTCATCAGGGTGAAGGGCACATCAATTATCCTACAGATACTTGAGACAGGCAAGGAAGACTGTCATCGGTGGTACCCCACTTCCAGTATTTTCTGCTGAAAGGGCAGACTGCTGTCTGAAGTGACTGCTGGTCTTTCAGCAGAAACCATCTCAGTCCCCCTTTCCCCTTTACAGAGAGCAGGAGTCTTGGCTCTCTGCAAATATACAGCCTTGCTTCATTCTCACCAACCTATTGTGTTTCATGTATATATATGGTATATATATGTATATATATATACACACACATAGGAAATATATATATATATGAAAAAATATTTCCAAGGAACAAATCCCTCACACAATTCAAGACAAGAGCACAAACTATTAATCCTATGGGGTAGACTTTTTACTTCTTTTGGCACATAAAAGGTTATTGAATCTCACCTTTAACTAGAACATAATGAACAAAAGAAAAAAGCAAACAAAATATAACCAGAGACATAGAAATTAAGAACAATCTAACAATATCCAGAGAGGAGGGGTGAGGGGACCCAGGGGAGAAGGGTTTTCGGGAACTACTATAAAGGACACATGGACAAAACCAAGGGGGAGGGTGGAAGCAGGGGAGGGAGGTGGGTTTGGAGGGGGTAGGCGGAAGGGGTGGGGAGAAAATACAGACAACTGTAATTGAGCAATAATAAAGTAATTAAAAATAAATAAATAAAAAGGCTATCAAATTAATTCTTCAATATTGCACCTAAACCTTCTTACATAACACATAGAGGTGTATAATCCTAGGCTTTTGTACATGAGAAAGAAAATAAATTAAAATTAGGCCTAAAAAACCTACTAAAGATGAGAGAGAGAGAGAGAGAAGAAAGGAACGGGTCTTGCTTTTCTGTGGGTCAGCCTGCATAGGTTTGGTGTTTTTCTGCATTTCCACCACCACCAAGAAAACAAAAATCTATCATATCCCACAAAAATTAAACTTCAAGTTTCTTCCATGGAGAAGAAAAAATAGAAAATTTGAATCTTTCAATAACTAGTTGGTGTATTTGTTTCTTTCCCTTCATCCTGTTTTCTGAACCCCAACTTCCCTCACCGTATCAGTCCCCCAATGCTGCTAATCAAAATTAAACATCCCAAAACTGCATCTGCTTTGTTACTTTTTCAGCTATGCCCAGGAATGAACGATTAAGTATCTAAGAGGCTGTGTCAGTTTGCTCATTGACATTTTTCTGTTTAATGGATAGATAATATATATTGTAAAAATACGCACATTTCTCCCAAGGGACTTAATCAAATATATTTCATTTTCAGTGTTAAAAATGAAGCTGTAAACATTTTCCCCTAAGTTGGATCTTATGCAAAATAGTGACTAACTGCTAAGACAGATTCTTTCTTGCTCATTTTATTTTGTTGCCATTAAAACTGCCTTAGATTCCTTTGGTATGTCCTTCTCTAGGGGCCGTGTATGAAGATCAGATATATCCAAAACATGATTATCCAGTTCAGTTAGTGATTTCAATGACCTCTTATGGAAAATTCCTTCTGAAAACTACCTCTTAGTAACTCTAATAAAGGTGATTTCAGGAGGCCAAAGGAAGGCAGTGCAGATGGCCTTTTCCTGCTTCCCCTCCCTACCTCTCTCGCTTCCTTTTGTCCCTTCCTCCCCATCTTCTCTGTCTCCCTTCTTCCTCCACATCCTTTCTCTCTCCCCCTTTTCTTTTTCCTTTTACCATCTTTTCTCCCTGTCTCCTTCCCTGCCTGAACTGAGCAATATACCAGATGGACAAACCTTTAAATGCTCACTAAGGGCCCAGTAAATAGCCTTTGAGGATTATGTCATGAGACTATGTGAAAATAAACTTTCTCATATTTACTACTGGTATTAATAATAACAATTACTATTACTACTGAAATTATTATAACTACAACAATACCTTATTTTTGTTTCCCAAATTTAGGACAGCAGAACCAGAGAAACATGTTCTGTCCCCAGAAGAATGAGCATCCTACACAATTTACACTGGGAAACCTCAAGCTAGCCAAATTTCCCCAGTGGTATATTCCTTAAAATCACATTCTAATTTTCTCTTCCCTAAAAGAGAAGTGCAGAATACTTCACAGGTGTCTGAAAAATCAATTGCTCTTTGGGGTTGGACCAACTCTTGGTGGGGCGCCAGAAACATGTGTACAACAACTAAACCAGTGACACCAATCACTTGGCTAGTTGTAAAATGGAATGCAAAGACCCTGACTTTTAATGTGAACAGTTCTTATTACACTTGTTTGTTTTGTGTGTGTGTGTGTGTGTGTGTGTGTGTGTGTGTACAGTTGTACTGAATCTTCAACTTTAAAAAGTATTTTATATTTAATTTCTCATTTATCACTTTAGATACCCCAACATTCCAGCTTAAAGCTATAGCCAAAGCTCTGCTTGAATCAAAAAGCAATTATTAGTCACAGATGGAGAAAGTGAAACACAATGTTAAGTTTTATTAGCTTTTCTCTAATTATATTAAATATCTATAAGCATTTGAACTACAGCTGAAGTAGACTTACCTGTTATTTTTCCCTTACATGAATAGCCTATTATTATGTCATAAAATAAACTT